GCAGGCCTCGGCGGCCAAGTCTTTTCTTCCCTCTAGTCCAGGACTACCAAACTTGTCCCTGCGTTAGAATCCATTTTGCGGATCTTCCGGAACTCCCAACACTCAGCGCGCACCCAGGGAAGCACAATCTTTGAAGAAGGGACTTAGGATTTTTCTTTCTTTCTTTCTTTCTTTTTTTTTTTTTTAAGTTTTTTAGGAGACTAATGTGCAGACACGTTTATGAAATGTCTGTGAGCATCTTGAGCAGAGAGCATTCACCAAGGAAGGCAAGTGGGCATCAAGAGCAACCAACAAGAAAGCTTGTTCTCTTTATGGGGGTAATAGAAGAAATTTGTTAAGAGAAGAAACTTCTTTGATCAAGCCCAGTTATTCAAGTGGGAGGCCAGTTTTAGAGACCCAGCATTTAGGAGATGAACTAAAATTCATTAAGCACTTCTCTCCTATTAAGTGGGTTTTCCTTTTTGCTTTGCTTTTGGGGACAGTGACTTAAGTAGACATTAATCGACTTAAGTTAGAAGCTCTGTGCCTACAACCCCCAGTCCAACGTGATGAGCTCTAAGAGGGCTGGCCAGGCTCAGAACACCACCAAGCACTGATGGTCTTTGCAACACCAAAGACCCACAAGATCATATCCAGTAGAGCATTTATGTTGATTAAAAAATGCATTCAAATTCCTTAAACACTGGGGATCCATTAGAAAAACTTAATCCTATATTCTGTTAGTTTTCTAGGTTTTATGGTATTCTCTTGCAGAGTCTCAGTTTGAAGAATCTGATGGTACAGTTAAACATACCAAGGTTGACTGGAATGCGAACAGGATTTTAGTTGAATGGAGCATCACTGCTTTTATCTTGGCTAAAGTCCAAGAAAGGGCAGTAAGCAAGGGATTTGGTGATGGTTATGGTTATACTTACTTGAGTTAATAATTTGCTTTATGTAACATGTATTATCCACATTGTTCACCACTGGAATAGAAATACGTGAGTTTCCAAAGCAAACTTAGATTTTGCTAAGTCTCTATTCCAATTAGTTAAATTCTGACACGACTTTTTGCCTCAGAAGAACATACCAAGCTAATGGTGAATTGAATTCACAATTCACGGATTTTGTATTGGCTTTGTTTTCCTCTTTTGTATTTAACAAACACCTTTCTATGCAAGATGCCACTAGGTCAAAAACCTTCAGTCAGGTCCATTTTCCTTCTATGCAACTGTTAATTTTGAGAGAGATCTGAGAAAACCAACCTTGTTCCTTGTGTACTGTTAGGATGGCCTCAGGACAATCAAATTCACTTCAGAAAAAAAATGTCAGCTAAGAATAATTTCCTATCTGTTCCATGCTACTCTACATTAAACTTATATTTTTAAATGGGAGAGATTTCTCAAGAAACAGAATTCATAGATGGGGTTTCATAGTGATAGCTTCTCGAGTTTTAATTATAATTTTCCAAAGGTTGCTAAGCCAAATTCATTATGCCTGCTCATAGTTGAAACCTGTCACCTGCTCATAGTTGAAACCTGTCACTTCCAGTGACCATGGCAGCATCTACGGATGGTATAGTGAATGTATCATGGCTAAAGTTTAGGGGTGCAGAAGTACGGGTCCTGTTTAGGCTCTCCTGTATGGAGAAAACACTTGTGGGATCTTGCTATGGAGATCTTTGTTGCTTGGCCAATGAAACTGGAGGAAAGTCTTTGGAAATATTTGAATAAAAATGGTTCACTACTGAGGTAAATATGATCTCAATATTTTCAAAGTGAAATAAAACAATAAACATGCTGCTGACAAGGAAACAGCAAAATTATAAATTTTAAGAAATGTTCTCCTTTTTTTCTATAGTGGAAAGTTCAATGCAGGAAAACCAAATTTTTAAAGTACTTATTTGCATCTGCTCTGTGACTCTTTTTGTTTTTTTATTTGATTTTTTGCTTAAAGTGCAACACACTGATATTCCTTTTTTAAAAAATATTTTTTAGTTGCCAATGGAGCTTTATTTTATATATTTATATGTGGTGCTGAGAATCAAACCCAGGGCTTCACACATGGTAGGCCAGAGCCCCAGGCCCAACACAGATATTACTTTTTAAGATGTGCATCTTAATGACGTGCAAAGGCATAATTTCAGTCCAAGTTCCATCTCTGATCTCAAGCACAGTAATAGGCACTTAGTGCTAAATAAATTGTGTGTTGAATGAATGAAGGAATACTGGTATTTTCTACTGAAGAGTGAAGCTCGGGCACTGGGTTCAGCATGAAGACTCTGGGGTTTGGTTGTGGATGTAGGAGGGTGGCTATGCTTGCTGCAGATGCAGGGGTGGCCTCTGGGTCCCTGCGCCCTTCTGGCAGTTCCCAGCGAGGCCTCACTTGGGAATTCTGCTTCTTAATGACCTCAGAAAATTCTGGTTCCTCTGCTTATGCCGCCAGTTACATGAAGTGTGTTGTGTGCTCCGATCCACACAGGCAAAATACAACTCTTGATAACTTGCACGTTTCTGGCTGTTTTTGTTTTTCTGTCAGTAAAGAAGGACAAGGAGGACACAAAGCCGAGCAGGACGTGCCCACTCTGACTGCTGTGGCTCTTCGCCTGTTGACCTGGTGGGTGGGAATGCACAATGTCTGTCAAGGGTTCCTTTATGATGATGCAAGATTTGGTTCACACAGACTTCACAGTTTTCAAAAAAATCTTTTGAACAGCAATTGCTTCTGTTCAATATACTTCTTCTTCCCTATGATCAATAGGGCAAAATGACAAAAGGAGCACTTGGGTTTCTTCCCCTCTGTGCAATCTGATGGTCTCAGCCATGTGACAGTCATGCTTATTTCTAAGGGCATGGATCCTTTCACGGATGTTAAAATTTGTATCTAATTTTATGAGTGACATCTTTTTGGAAAAAAAAATCTCAATACTCTATAACTTAAATCAAGTTTGGATAATAAAATACATTTCTTTCTGGTTCACAATCTTTTTTTTTTTTTCACATTGTCTGTAGTAACGGGCATTTGATGTTAGTATACTGTTACTGGATTGGAAATAATTTATTTCTGCTATAAGACTTCATAAAAATGGACTTCATTGTATTTCCTTATAGCTTATGGGTAGAGCCTTTTTCTGTGATATTTTTTAAAACGTGTTTTGAAGGAGACGTGTGCCTCAAAAGAAATGAGGGGTAAAAACAAGGCATTCTCACAGACAATTAAAGGAACAATAAACATCTAAAACAATAACCACTGTGCCAGGCTGTCTCTATCTGTAATCCTAAGTAGTCCTTTGAGAACAGCCAGCTACAAATGACTGGATTCAATCCCACCACCATAGTGTGGAAGGTTCCCCAATTTTATCAAACAAATGCAGAAATACAGGATTTGGGGAAATCTCAAATAATGAATGGAAAGAGGCTTTCTTTTAAAGCATAAAACTTTACTTTCTTAACTGCTTATATTTCTAAATTGCTTAAAACACAAATTACTTTGGATGAAAGTAATCATCCATGAGCAATTCCTTTGGGGAGTCCATTGGAAAAAGATTTTCCTTTTTCCTTCTAGAAGAATGTAGCAACCACTAAAGAAATTGCTTAAGACCACCCATCTGCTTCCAGTGAGCTCACTGTCCTGGAATTCAAGTGAGTGGCCAGCACTTCCAGAACCCAAGGACCCACATGGAGGAGTCTTTGTAACTCTGTAAACACCAAAGAGCTCCAGGGTGTCAAAGTCACCAATACTGTTTTTACAGCCAGCTCACAATGTTGGAAGTCCCGAGAAAGAGTGGACTGCAGGCAGGCAGAGTGAGGGCTGCACATTACAAAGAGGCCCCTCCGGATGTGGAGGGCACAGGAAGCTTCTACAAGGGAATCAACCTCAGACTGAACCAACCTCTGCCCCTGTGATGGGGCCCTGGGGTTTTTAAAAGATGACCCTTCTAACCCATGGTCACTCTGTGTACCTGGCCATTAACACCGCCAGCTAAGCACCAACTGCACATGCACTCGGTTCTGAAAGAATGAGCCCATTTTTAGGTACAGCTGCTGTTCTACTTTCTTCTCCCATCTCATCCATGGAGAAGAACCTAGAGGCCCTCTCCCCACCACCGATTTAAGAGTTCTAAAATTAGGGCCAAGTGTGGTGACACTTGCCTGTAGTCCCAGCTACTTGGGCAGCCAATAGGAGCATTGCTCATGCCCGGGAATTTGAAGCCAGCCTGGGCAACTCGGCGAGACCCCATCTCAAAAAGAAAAGAAGTCCCCAGGTCACTTCATTTGCTCATATATGTGCCAGAATACCCAGGTACATCCCAAATCCACATTGACCCTTCTGGGGAGGGCTGGGGGGCTGGGAGGAGGGAGCTACAGGGGTGGTATACCTGCCAAGTGAGGTGTAATTACAACAGAAGAGAAGGGAAGGGTTCTTTTCTTACAGCCATATCCAGTTTAGTAAAAGTGACAAGCAAGATCTAAGTTTTCTACACAAGACTCATTGTCTGGACTTCTTTGTTTTCTTTCTTACTGCAGTGTGACAGAATACATAAAACAGCACTCCAACACACCGGGCCGACGGTCAAAGACAGATGCTACTGCAAAGCCTGTAGTGCCCATGGCCATCTCCAGTTTCCTACTTATTATTCAGGAGAAATATTTTATAATAAAAATATAGTATATCAATTTAATAGAAAATATAAGCCCAAATTCAAGGCAGCTTAGATGTAATCTTCGGGAATTATCCTTAATCCAAATTGCCCAATGCATACTGAAAGAGACTATGGCATTAAAAAATATCTTAGTCTTTCAAGAAATAACAAAGACAGTGGCTGTTCAAATTTGGAAAACGTCTGTGATTCAACAAGGGAGGCAGCGAGAACCTGAACCGGGTGCGTCTCTCTACTCTCTGTATGCACAGCAGCACAGAGTGCGTGGCTCCTGGGCAACGATGAACCACAAAAGATGTACTAAGCTATAAAGCAAAATAAATGACTAACGACCAAAATCAGTTTCAGTTTTTATTATGAATGTCCAAAGTGACAGCATTCTGTGAAGGTGTTAGGTTCTCATTGACTAAACTTCAAGAGACCACAGACTACAGCATTCCAAGCACTTTAATTTTTGACAGAGCCAAAACAAATAAAAGAATGATAAAAAGTATTCTTTTAGGTGTAAAGGGTGCTCATATTTTTGCAATTCTTTCCCCTGCAGGTATTGTGAACACTGATGAGTTCCAAAAACACAGATCCGTTCTGGATACTTGCAGCAGACGTTTGCAATGTCTGCCTGAATGAGGAGCTAAGGAGCGAAGTACTTATAAAGTATGTTTACGGTACAATGTAGTATGCCTGCTCACCCCCATTGCCTTTCTCTCCCATAAGGCTGCTCCTCTACCGCCTGGGTACCTGCTGTTCCTAACAGGACAGGAAGGCTGGAGGGAAATACTTGGAAGACGATATGGAACCCTGGATTTTCTCAAACCTGCATAATTTTTTTTTTTTTTTAAATGAAAGCTCAAAACTTTCAATGTTTGAACGTCCAAAGAGATAACCAATAATAATGGATTAAAGCCACTGGTCAAGAATTACACAGTGTGCACATATGGTGTTCAAGAAAAGAGCCTCAGTGTACTACAGCTATGGTTCCAGTCATCTGTAGTTCCAACACAATGACTTTCCCCGCGATAGGTTTCCTCCAGCTCTGTCTCCTCCGTCACTGGTACTGGATGCTACAGATGGAGTTTGTTGCCACTGATCTCCCAATCAATTCTGGGCTTGTGGAAGTGTGTATCTCTTACAGATGCGATACTGTTCATCTGAGTGGATCCTCAAAAAGAACAATTATGAACTAGAAACTCATAGAGTTTGTGTTTAAAATTTATAAAATTAAACCTGCTCCAACAGGTAATACAGGGAGGCATGCTTGCAACCTCTGGATTCAATCAGAAACAATGCCTGAGAGCACAGAGCCTTCTCAATAGGTAACGGAGGGTTCCTTTTAACGCTTCCTTAAACAAGATCCGATGTGATGCACATTAGAACTTTGAAGCTCGTCTGTCTCATTTATTTCTACAAGGCCTGGGACACAGGAAGCTGCCAGGACTTCATTCATCATCTTGCCTGTTGACAAAAGGAACAATAACTGGTCATCACTGGTTAATGGAATGACTTTTCCTAGCTTTTTCCAAGATAATTCCTAAAGAAGAGATGGTGTCAATACAACAGCAAATGTTTCAATGTTTGATGAATTTCTCTGCTCTAAAATGCCATCTCTTCTTCTAGTAGAGCAGGAAGAACCAGCTTGTGCAGTGTCCACTTCTCCCCCAGACTGAAATGGTTCAGGAGGGAGCCATTCCTGGAAGTCAGCTACCCAGCTCCAGACGTGATTCTACCCACAACTAGTGCAGGCACCTGACCTTGCTGGGCCTTGGGTTCTGCCCATATAGACTGAAAAAACTTCAGCAGGTAATGTCTAAAAAGAAGGCCATCTAACTCTAACTTTTACTGAACTCATGCACTCCTGCCTTCTCAGCTCTTGGCAAAGCACAATCAAGTCCCACTGTGTCAGCCTGAGGCAATGGTTAAGACTTCAACAAAAACCTACACCTGGGTGCCTGAACTTCCAGAGAAGTCTCAAAATACTTATTAACATCTGAAGTCAATTAAAAATCATGTGTTTTTCACAGCTGTCAAGGGTACAAGTAGAAGTTAGGTTAAATATTTGGAAATTTTGGGTAGATAGTTCTTGTTCGTAACAAAATGATAAGTTCCTGTAACTGAAAGTTTCACCATTTTGATTTGATCTTTATGTATTTGCAGTTGGTAAAACTTAGAGGACTTATTTAGGTGATAGTATGCTTCATGATATCATATCATACTTATATATCATCATATTATATATTTTAAGGCACTCTGTCATGTGTGACAAGAACAATGGCTTGAATGATTGGCAAGAATAATGACATGCACGATTTTTTTCACCTTTCTCCCATGGTTTTGACATAGGGGAAACAAAACTTTGTGAAATGTGTGAATGAGCCACACAAAACAAAACTGGTGCTGAGATGTCATCTATTACTCTGGATTATTCGAAGTGCTTTGCTAGTATGTTTATCTTTTGAACATAAATTAGGACTTTTAAAAAGTTGATTTTTAAAAAGGTGTCTTAAAATTCTACTCAAAAGCTCAGTCATTTCACTCTCAATGGCTGCAAGACTCAAGTTCCAGAGCCACCTTCTTCGATCTGAATAAGATTTGAGGCTGTAGCAGGGTTAGGGTTATTGTCCACAGTAGATCAGCATTTTTGTGGTAAAGGCACAGAGACCACAGGGGAACAGAAGAAAAAAAAGACACAAATTTACTCAAATTATGGGGTGGGAACAAGGAAGAAAGACCTGTAAATGCACACAATACTAACACGGACTAAATTTGTGCTTGTCTCTCTGTTGGCAGGGAAGAGAAATAAATATTTCTGTCTTGACAAATGAACTTCAACAAACAGTATGTAAAATGTACTATGGCATCCTGGCAAGTGTTTTCACGATCATGGTTTTCTGGGCGGGGGAGGCATGAGATATATATATATATATATATATATACATGGAGCGCCAGGGTTGAAGCCATATTGGTTTTAATTGCCTGCTTCTCCCCTGGAGGGCACTGTTTGTATGCTGTACCACTGCGCAGAAGCTTTTATACCTGGTTCGGAGCTTCCACCTAAATGACATCAAAGCCAACACAAGTTACTGCATTTAATGCCTTGTCACATAAAAGGAGATCCAGCTGCTACGGACAGCCACAGCTGCTGGGATGTGACAGGTGGCTTCTTCGAAGCTCCTTAAGTAGCTGGAGTTTTTTGTAAAGAAATCCATTCTCCCTTCTCCCTCAGTCAGGGGTCACTCTCACTAGCAGTTACCAGTGTACATCAAGACCCCTCCATAATACTGTAAATTAAAAAGGGGGCCCAAGAAAGTTCCTACTTTTTATTGGGAACCTGGTGCAAAGAACAAGATGACTTTTATACAAACCTGAGCTGGGTGTGGTGGCTTATGCCTATAACCTCAGCAACTCAGGAAGCGGAGGGAGGAGGATTGTGAGTTCAAGGCCAGCCTCGGCAATTTAGTCAGGCCCTAAGCAACTTAGTGAGATTCTGTGTCGAAATAAAAAATTAAAAGGGCTGGAGATGTACCTCAGTGGTAAAGTGTCCCTGGGTTCAATACCCGATACCAAAAGGAAAAAAAGAAAGAAAAAAATGAATTAGAAGCAGTTTTCTGCAGCTCACGATGAGATGATTATACTCTGCAGCTTTCCTGCATTTGGAAATCCTCAATTAGTTACACTTGTGTAAACCAGACACAACTGAGACCCATGGAAACAAAGGTATTCCTTACACGGACGCAAATGCCCAGGAGTCTACCGGTTCCAGGTAACACCTCTCGCTTAGTCTAAGCTGCCCTGCAAATAGATCTATTCATCAATCCTACATTGCAAACAAGAAAACTGAAGTTTTTTTGTCAAATAACAAGGCCAAGATTAGACACCAAGGAGGGAGCAGGGCCTAGATTTCAAACTAAATGTGCCTGATTCCCAAATGACATGCATTTCCTCTCAAAGGCTGCTCCCCTCAGATCCCTGAGTATCCAGACAGGGGAGTGGCCATCCCACTCTCTGGCCCACGATGAAGGCCGAGCAGCGAGTGACCAGGGCTGCAGAGTGGCCCGCTGCTTCACAGCAGCGACAGCCTCTCCTAGCACACACAACCTGCTGCAGGAACAGTGACCAGGTCCCCAGGTCAGTGACTCAGGTCACAGAGCAAGGCTGGGGAAAGGACCAGGCAGAGAGAGTGCCTTTTGAGGGACACAATGCATGAAGAAACAGAAATGCAGTTGACTTCTGCACTATGGAAAAGATCCTGTGGTGTGGTTCCATTTTTCATCCTTAACTGATTTCCAACTGACCTACTAGCAGGCCAGGAGTTGTATATAATCTAGGAGTCATTTCTAAATTATAATTGATAAAAAAGAAGGCAGGGAGAACAAAATGGGAGAGTCTGCAGAGAGCCTCTAACCCTCTGGAATGAGTCTCCTGCACACCCATGCCTTCACCCGGAAAATTCTTTAATCTCATGTCCTCCTCTTCCTTCCTTCTCCACAAAAGACAAAGGCTTGTGATTAAGAAGCCAGGGGGACGGAAAATCCACAGGGGGGATGATTTGTTCCAGCAGTCATCATATTGGATCAACATCCAGTGGGCTAGACAAAAAGGCGATAGAGCAATATCATAGACATTTGGAATGTTCTGCACCTTTCCAAAAGCCGTTGAGACCCAAGCCTCAGCCAGCCGGTCCTGCCATGTGGAAGGGAAAGTGCCAGAGTTACTCGTGGATGCCAGACCCCAATCTGCCTCGTCCAGCTGATCCGTTTGGTCATCCCATATGGGAGCTGGATGGTTGGCACAGAGCTGCAGTAGCAGAGTGTTCAGACACGTTCTCACATAATTTGCTAAATGTTTTATTGTTCTGTAGTTAAAAACCTACTTAAAATGTGTGCAGCCATGTCCCATTACAATAGAACAATATGAAGGCGTGTCTTTCCAAGTGCCAAGTGTGAGAATAACTAAAATAAATCAGGCAATCATTGCCTAGTAGGGGAGGTTACTCCTATGATGGGGACACACAGGGCTCCTCTATTTCACCAAGGTCACGTTTCCTGCCTCATGTCCACATGCGCACTGTGCATGTGATCCATGAGAGTCCATAAAAAAGTTACTTAGTTCCACCATAATAGAAAGATAGATCACATCAGCACTAAAACAGGCCTTAGGAGTTGCAAGGCACAAAACTTCCATTTAAAACATCAGCAAACTGGGGCTCTGAGGTTCCACGCTCCCCGCCCCACCCTGCCCAATACACGCAGAGATGAGTCTGTGAAGAATACATGATGCTCTTATTCTTGGTCCATCAATGTCCCTTATTCATTCAATTAAAAAATCTCAAACAGTACATCCTGAAAAATTAGACCACTTGGCACAAATGATCAGAGTATAAGGTAGACTTTGGGACCATAATGGACCCAGCGGTTTCCAGAGGTGGTGGGGTCCCATGCCGTGAGCTGGCTTGAGGGAGGCAGGTGGCAGGATGGTTGTAAGCACTCGGGTTCCTTGGTCACTCAAGTGTGAGAGGGAGACAAACACCTGGCCTCAGGGCTGACCGTGGGGACTGAGAGGCTCTGTGGGAAGCCCCTCATGGAGGAGGAAGAGGGCCACTCGTCCTTCAGCCGGCCATGTTCTTAGACACCCATGGACAGAAGGAACAAGGCCTTGCATCCCCCTGCAGGGGACACGCTTCCCTTTCTTCTCTACCCTGTGGGCACAGCCAGCCACCTCTGCTCATGTCAGCAGCAGCCACAGTACTCCCATTTTCCACCCTGTTCCCAGTCCCAACCCAGTCCTTTCCCTCTCTCTCTGGACCACTTCTACTACAGTGGAGGGAATCACCACAAGCACCCAGGAATCAGTAAGCCAATGCTCATGCCTTTGCTGAGGTACAAAAAACAAACAAACAAACAAACAAACAAACAAACAAACAAACAAACAAACAAGAGTTTCTGCTAACCACTCCCAGAAAACCAGGGCCCACATGTGCCACAGCCGGTGCTGTGCTCGGGCTATATATGATCTGGCAATTCTGTACTTGGACACCCTGCAGGTGGAGGATGGGGGAGAGGGCAGAAGTCTTTACACAGAAAGGACAGGTTACCCAGGCACTGTTCTGCAACCTTACAATAGACCGCCAAGTCCACAGGATGGAACGAGACACAAGCCAAGAGCAAGGCCCGTGTCCAAACTCATTTTGGTAAGAGCCTGACTCCCAGGCAGGGGGAATAACGATGCTCAAGGAGGCATGAGGGAAGGTGTGGATAAAAGTGAAATAAGACTAAACCGCTGTCATGGAAGGCCAGTCCATCAGTGAATCACCTGAGGCCACAGGTGTAAAACAGCCCCAGGACATGCACTCCAAACACTGGGGAGTCACCTCCCCTGCCTGCAGCCTCCAGGCCAGGGCCCATGCTGAGCATAAAGAATTTTCATTGAGAGCCTAGATGGCCCTCCTTCCAGCTTAA